CAAGTCTTAAAGTTGACAAGGTTGGAAATAGCCTTGGTCTAGTCTAGTGCATTAGAGGGAACCAAGTTGAGGGAGGTAGTTTGGGGCCCTCCCTGGTCTAGGGATTTCCATCCTCTAGGGTGGACCAGTTCCTGCTGAATGGAGCGCCAAGCCGTTCTCCCCGCTGCTGTCTTGACCCGACCTTGTTTCTAAAGATCTCTTAGCTGGTTCTCCTTTTGATTCTCCTTTCAGAGCAGTACAAGCTGCTGAGTGACCACATTGACCAAATGGCTGCTGAATAGCTCCACCACCTGCTTGGCCAGGACCAGGATGGAGAGAAGAGGCTGGCGGAGGCAAAAGGCTGAGAAACCCACCTCGGGGACCGTCTTTAAGACTTCAGATGGGCTTTTAAAGCAACAGATTCCCCCCATAGACTCTGCAATAACCCTGCATGATTGCTGTTCAACTGTGTCTGTGCTGTGCTAAGCAGCCTGTAGAACTTGTCCATCCAAAGGCGCCGGTCTCCTTCTGCAGTCCCAAGGACACCCAACCACTTCCTCAGACTTTGGGCATGGAAGCCCTGGCTTTGCCCCCCTCTCCCCCCCACCCCCAGTCTGGGGAGATTCCTCCATGCAAGGCAGGGAGAGTCCTTGGGGACCAGGACAGGAGGTCCTTGTGTGAAGGACCAGAAGAACCCTCCACGCATTATCGTGGGCTATTTTAAGCAGCCAGAATCCCCCTTTTTTTTCAACAGCCATGAAATGTGAAATAGGATGTGAGCCCAAGTTGCAATGGAACAGAGGGGCAGATAAGAGCTTTTAATTTTTCTGCAGAGCTGGTCATTCTGGAGAAAGGAATTTTGTAGACCCAGAAGGCCTGGTTTGATTCGTCCTGTTAGGCAGAGAAAGATATTTAAAGGTAGGCAGGAGCTGACCTTTTGTAGTTTTGGACCCTGAGATGCTGTGTGCAAGCCAACCGGGCCCAGATTCCTGGTTCCCTGGACCAGTTCTGGGACCTCCTGTGTGGTTTCAATGCAATATGTTCTGAATAAAACCAGTAAGCTGACCTAACTCCGGAGGTGTAAAGAAGAACAAATCCACCACTGCGGTTGACGTGGTTGCTCAACTGGTTGACCAAGATTGATCGATCCCATCTCTCTGGTTTGTCAACCTCACGGAGCCTTTCTCTGGTTTGTCCACATGAAGTAGGTGGAAGGTTGTCTGTGAGGTGCTGCCATATTTCCACCATTCATGAACGTGAAGGCCTACATGGCAGCAACAGGCCACCTTGAGGGCAACCACAATATTCTTCAACATCCTCCCATTTGGAGAAGCCGCCTCTGGGCTGTTTCTCACACCTTTGATGATCAGCCGCTGGTGTCTTGTGTGTGCGTGTGTGTTTGTGTTTCTAAGGACAGGTTGATGTTGGGTGTGTAGGGGAGTGTTCTCCATTCACTTTAGCTGGATGGATGCTGGTTTTTCATTCTTTGGGAAAAGACAGAGCTGCTAGTGAGCTGTTGGGTGATTTACAGAGTCCACAAGAAAATCCCTCTCCCTCCCTCCCTCCCTCCCTCCCTCTGTATTGGTGTGTGTGTGTGTGTGTGTGTGTGTGTGTGTGTGTGTGTGTGTGTGTGTGATTCTCAAATGTTGGGCTCCTGTAGTTCCCGTGGCCTCCAGGAGAGGGCGCCACGGAAATAGGTTTTTGACATGCTTCCTCCTCTGGAGTTCAAGGAAGGAATCCTTGCTTAGTTGGTTGCTTATGTTGGATCTGCCCTAGAGTCTGAGTTAGGAGTGGGGGTGACTTCTACTGATAGAATTTTGGGGTGCTCCCCTTAGAAACCCTCTTCTGTTTCCACTTGTTAACCAGATCCCTTTGCTGGTGGTTTGCTGTCCTTAGCATCCCGGTCTTTGCCAGCGGTAGCTTCTATTTATAGCGTTGCTCCAATCCCGGTTGAAAACCCAAAGGTTTGGAGCTCGGATAGGCATCAGCACACCAGCATTCCGCACGGCTGGCTTTTGCTCTTCCTAATCCTGCAGAAAAAGCCCAAACCGCCACATCTGGAGAGAGGCCTCTGCTAAATTCTTCTAGCTCAGCTTTCCTTCCACTTTGGGGAAGACATCCAATTCTCCCAGCAGGCTCGCATCAGCTTGACACACAGCGGAAACAACAGGCCAAGGGATATCCCACCAATGACGACTGCAAAGGTGTTTCAAGGTGGGGCAAAGGGCATCAAAACTCAGCTCCCACTTGTAGACAACTGAAAGCCCGGAGTAAGATTTAAAGACGTGGATTTCTCCCGAGTTCCCGCAAGCCACAGCAATCCAGGACGTGGCCTGTATTTCGCGAAGGCTGCAGGAGTCCCGTTCCTTCGACGCATATTGTCCCGTCTCCTTTTATACCTGAATCCTTCCAGGTCTCTCATAAATTGTGCTCATTGTTTTTTCTTCTCCATTCCATTGTTACATCTTGACAATTTTTTTCCCTTTAAGGTAGGGGATGGATGGAGAGCAGCACTGAACTGAATGTGAGTGAGCGAGGCTAGTCTACATTTTGTGGAATGCGAAAGATTTAAATCCAGATGTTTGCTTGCATTTCTGAGGTCTGCTTTAAAGGCTCCGGGACGTAATTTGCAGCAAAGAGTTTAAGTGACTTCTTGGAATGAAAAGAAGGATGGGTCTGCAACAGATCCTGGGTTTTGTGTGTGTGTGTGGGAGGATGCTGCTAAAGATGTAATTTTAGGACCATCCTTCTCTTCTTTGCTCTTTTAAAAAGCAAAAAACCCAGAACTGCATATTGTATGATTGTAAACCTGAGTGTCCCAGTGTGGCATTTCCATCACGTGAGTTTCACTGAAGTTTTAAAACTGCTGTATTTGGTTGTGTAATATACATATATATACATATACAGTATAATGTTCTGATGTACATCGGGTGCATTGTGTGTGCCCTGTATCAAGAGTGCAACTTCATGTCCTATGTGGAATATTGTTGTTTTTAACTTATGTACTGAAAACATTTCAAGTTCTGGTTACGACAGAATCAGGGGAAATAAAGTAAAGCTTCAATAAATAAATGAAACCACATCTTCACTCTTTTTTCCCCCTGTCCAGGTTATGTTTATTCCAGATCCCATTTTCTGTGCTATTCCCTCTCTTTAAAAAAAAAAAATCAATGAAATACGAGTGATCCTTGACTTATAACCATGCATTTAGCCATGGTTCACAGTTACAACGGCACTGAAAAAAAAGGTGATTTAGGAGAGGTTTTCGCCCTTATGAGAAAGGAGAACAACAGAAAAAGAAAAGAAAAATGTGATGGGGGAAATGGCTTGTGGTCTTTACAGTAGTTCTAAATGCCTTTGGATTTCATCCACTTTCTCTGAGGTTATACCATCCCTGTTTCCTTTCCATAATCCATTCTTTTATTGCCAATCCACCTCATAAATCGCATGTCTTTCTTTGCGTTTTCCGTGTGGTCTTGTCACTGGTGTTGAACCGTAGATAGCGCTTGTCTCTCAAGGTTCCTTAATCTGGCGCCAAGATCGCCCTTTGCTGTGTCTTTGTGGCTGAGCCTGGCCACAGACTGTGACCACAAGTTAAAACGGCAGGTGAGTCGAAGCGAGACACCTCGCTGCAGCTCCTAAGAAGCCACACCTGTGTTTGGTTACTACGGAGACACCTGGATCGACAAAAAAAAGCCAGTCCTCTGCCTTGGGTAGGCTCCTCCTGTTCTTCTTGCCCCACAGAGGATCAATCTGTGGGGAGTGGAGTGCCCCAACCCCCCACTGCAAGCTCCTTCCAAAATGCCAATGTTGAACCACTCCGTCCTCCTCCTCCTCCTCCTCCTCCTCCGGCTTCTTAATCCCCTGCAGGGCTCCTCTGTGCTGGGTCTAAGGAACGAGCGTGCTCCCACCAGCCTTCCTGAAAAATGCGCGGCCGACAAATTCTTCAGTCTTGAGACTGGCCAGTGCAGCGCCTGTGCCCCAGAGCTGATCCGGAGTCCTGAGGGTGAGTGGGGGGAATAGACGGAGGGCTGGGGTTGGGAAAGCCGGAGTAGACGTCCAGCAGCAACATTGCAATTTAGCAAGTATCTGGGGCGGGGGTCCCCCAACTTGGCAACTTTAAGACGTGTGGGCTTCAACCCCCAGAGTTCTCCAGCCAGCAGAGCAATTAGTCCACAGGTCTTAAAGCTGACCAGGTTGGAAACCGCCTTGGTCTAGCCTAATGCATTCGAGGGAACCAAGTTGAGGGAGGTGAATGTCTAGGGCAGGGGTCT